TCTCTCTCTCTCTCTCTCTCTCTCTCTCTCTCTCTCTCTCTCTCTCTCTCTCTTTCTCTCTCTCTCTCTCTCTCTCTCTCTCTTTCTCTCTCTCTACCTTCGCATGCACACGTCTCCTCCCACCACTACGGAAAGCGGCACGCAGCCAACCTCGTGGACTGAAGGAGCGCCCACCAACATCAGTGCTGCCAAAGAAAGCCACGACTGCCCATGTATATATAGATAGAGGCCGACACCATTTCCCATCCCGCCGTCCACGCAGGGTGTCCGGTCCCTTGTTCCAGCACCATGAGCCGGTGTGTCCCAAAATATTATATATATCTATATATATCCGGTCCCTTGTTCCAGCACCATAAGCCGGTGTGTCCCGAAATATTATATTCGGGACACACCGGCTCATGGTGCTGGAACAAGGGACCAGACACCCTGCGTGGACGCTGGGACGGGAAAACGGAAGCCGTTGTATATATATATATATATATATATATATATATATATATATATATATATATCGTATATATATATATGTGTGCGTATAAGTGATCGATATTTTATTTGTGCTCTTTTTTTTCTTATGACCTGTTATCCTCAAGTGCTAACATGGCGAGGGGTCTGTGTCCACCCTCCACTGTGCATCGCTATTTCCCCCACCACCGTGCCTCGAAAGAACCCCCACAAGCATTTCGAGGACGGTGTTCCCCCCACGCATGGCATCTGCGACGTCAGCAATCTTCGCTGCGATCCCTGTGCCGGCTTCCGACGTTGCCTTCGCAAGAGTGGTAGCGGCCTTATCCAGACCTTCGTTGTACGACCGTGTTGCGTCCTCCATCGCCCTCCCCAATACTATCCCACCGCTGGTCGTGTCGTCCATCCTCGCTTTGTCGGTATTCATCCTCCGCGTCTTCGCTGCACTGTGGGAATCTTCCGTTGCTCTACCGTCGAAACCACTTTTCCCCGACGAGGGTTGTGGTGGACCGGTCTCCGTTGATGGCCCTCCTGCGTTACCCGGCAGGTTCTCCGATGCCAGCGTGTTGTCACACTTGATGGAGGGCCAATTCAATTGCCACTTCATCGCTTTCCACAACGCTTTCTCAAAGCGTACTGGCACTTGCTCCGCCTTCCGCGGCTCCATAGTCATGTCCCAGTATGAAGGTTTGCCCGAAGCATTCACACACTTGTCGAGAATCAACTTCGCTGCAGCCATCATGCCCTGCCACTTCTTATGGCAATCCTCCCCCGACCTGTGCAGAAACCCGTGATCCACCATTCGATCGTGCACCCACTCATACCGCTCCTTCCTCTTCTTGAACCGATGCTGGCCCTCAGCGTCGGCATGAGGGCGTCATCCTCGGCCATCAATCTCGACAGTGTGATCCTCTCCTCCAAGCTCCATGGGATGTTTTGTTTTTTGTTTTTGGCAGCACCATCTGTCTCCCCCCGCTTTTTTCCACGCCTGCTGCTTTGGGGCCCAACCACATTCTGGCCCCCATCTATCTGCCCAACACTGTCCCTGTCGTCTTGCACGTTGTCTGAGTTATGTGCATCAGTGTCACTGCCATCACCTTCACCTCCGTCGTCGTCAATATACAGATCTTCGTCGCCAGCTGAGGAACGGTCTTGCAACCCGGCAGTCGACAAAGCAGCACCGTGCACGGGTCATCCATATCCTCTCCTTGCACATCTACCATTGAAGGCGAAGGCTCGACAGCAGACCGCCTGACTGACATAGGTGATGGGGTGGACATTCCACCATGCAGCGCCTACGACGTCTGTCCACACTGCGGGGACCACTGCCAATCATCCCTCATTGCTCCGCCCCTTTCCACAGTGTGCAGGGTAGGGTACATGTGCGTGGCAATGCCATACCCACCGCCGACTGGGAACGTGTGTGGACCAGGCATGCCATACCCACCTCCAATCTGTGTGCAATATGAGGTTTGGCCCGTGTGCAGAGTGTGTAGAGATGGCCGAACAGGGAACCGCCGACGTGCACCTGCGGCATGGAGCAGTGATGGAGAGGGCAGTGGAGCAGGTGGGACATGAATCGGCCCGGCCTGCACACCCTCGTGCAACTGGCCACCGAAGGACTGCGTCGTTGCCGGTGAAGGGGAGGAGTACGGGACAGATCCTTGCACAGGCATGTCCTAGGACTGGAATCCCCCATCAATGTCTGCACAGGGATCTGTCGTCGACCGATACGACTCCATTTCACTACGAAGCACCAACAATGAAGGCAACACCCAACACCACGTACTGCTTCCTCCAAGAACCGTGACACCCCTTCAGTGCTATCTCCACCCACGAGTCCCACGACAGTAGAAGTATAGGATCACACACCAAAAGACGACCGACAAGAAGAAAGTCGTTGAAAGGATGATGAGGACCGCAACCACGCCTACGAAAACAACCCAAGATGGTTTTTTTCGTCGCCCGCCTCCGCTGCAGTGGTTGTTAATAACAACATTCACAAAACAGCTTTGATGGCACCGGTCACATCCACACAGGCGATGATAGTGTTCGACGATTGACACGTGGCGAGTGTGTGGATGAGGATTTATAACCACACCCTCATGTGCAGCCCATCCCTGCCCACATGTGTTGCGGTTGCTCTCTGGCGAGGACAAACGAGCGCCCTGGCGAGGTAGACCAAGAAGTGAGGATGGCAAGGGAGGTAGACGATGGAGCACGGAATGTGTCACCGCCACAACACGGGAGAACAACATCATTATGTACGTATATGCGCGCGCGCACATCGACAGCGCAGGTTCTCGTCCGCGCATTCCACACATGCTGCTCGCCACATAACCCGCAACTTCCGAATGCAAGCCCCGGCCAGAGACCGCCTGACAATGCCACCCGAAACGACTTCCCCGTAGACAAGCCTCGCGCCGTGCACGCTCGATGGCATCATGCACGAACTACGCAGAGCAGGAGGGTTTAATGGAGGTATCGGCGACGGCCAGCTATCGGAATCGCTGCTCATGCTCCCCATGCACACACAGGAAATGAATGTCGGGATTCCATGGCTGGCCTTCGTCCTCAGCCCGCCAAAAATTCAAATCTTTAATGCTGCAGCATGCCGTTCGTAAGGTGAGGGGATGGCCCAGACCCCCGGGTCCTTGGGGGAACTGTGCGACGACAAAAAAACAAGAGCATGTCCGTGGTGGCCTCCCGGTCAAAAAAACGGTCCAGGACAACGGTGCATGTTCCACGCCGTCCAGCCGTTTTCTGGAAATGGATGGACATGCCCCCCCCCCTACTCGTTTGGACGCCTCCTTGGAAAGGGAATGGAAAGCGGTCGGCGTTGAATTTCCAGACCGCTGATCGAGTAGAAACGCCCCGTCCGCATTTCCGCGACCTGCTTCCAAGCACGGTGGGGTCTGGAATTCCTTTCCAGGCCTACTTTCCACACTGGTTTCCAACACCTGTGGGGTCTGGAAAACACTACATCGCCTAAACTTTTCCAGGTTGCCGGTCAGTGGGGTCCAGGAATGGGTCTTCTCTTTTTTTTCTACACGTCCCTTTCTGACGTTCTTACGCCAGTCTCGAACTCTGCAGGTTGAGGTATTTGTGAGCTACGTGGCACCCTCGGCCGCGGCCGCAGGATCCGAGTCTGCGGCCCGGATCCTAGGCCGCAGGTCCGTGGCCTAGGCCGCGCGGCCGAGTTTGCGCGCAGGTGGTCGCGCGCCCTCGAGATCCGAGCGCGCGCTCGGCCTGCGCACGTCGGCCACTATCGGCTTGCATTAAAAAAAAATAAAAAAATCAAAAATTTGGGGGGGTCGATTTTTATAGGTAGCAAAAAAAAATAAAAAAATAAAAATAAAAAAATATTCATTTATTGATTGTTTTTTTTAATGATTGTTTGATTGATTGGTTGATTGATTGATTGATTGATGATTGGTTGATTGATTGATTGATTGATTGGTTGATGATTGATTGATTGATTGATTGATTGATTGATTGATTGATTGGTTGGTTGGTTGGGGG